ATGCTTGTGTTGCTCACATTTATTCCTTCCCTGCCTTCACAAATGGAAGGCAGAGCATCTGTTTTACTGGGAGATTTATACCCCTGTGTTAAAAAGCCTGCATGGTATATTTTTTGGCTGATTTCTAGAGGAACAGACATCCACTTAAGCTTTTTGAAAAACCTTCCCAGTTTCCTAACTAGTCAATAGAAAGTTCCCAGCTTTTCTTCCTTTCTGAGGAATCCAGTCCCAGCTCCAGCTGCACCTCTACCTCCGCAGAGCTCAGTGCTGAGGGAGGAGAGAAATCTCCTTGACACAAGCGTAGCTGCAGGACAGTCTGGGCCATCATCCTTGGCTTCCTGCTTCTCAGAAAAGGAAAAAGTAGGCCAGCCATTTCTTTCCACTTTCCTTCTCCCTTCCACTGTCCCAGCCATACAAGTCTAGAAGACAGAAATTTTGTCACTAGTGCAAAGTATGGGGGAAAACAGCAACAGCAGCAGCCCTGAACCGTACCCCAGACTCCCCTGGAAATGGATGGTAGATACTTCACAAGTTTAAGGCTGCTTCTAAAGCATGGAGAAGCTGTGAGGAGTCCTCCTGGAGACAGGGCACAGATTAGAAGGGGACCATCTGACTGAGGCCACTGAGCTGGCTCTGCTCTTGGCTAACCTTCCTCCTTCAAGGCCAGTGTGGTACAGAACCACATGTGCACTGGAGATGTCTGCAGTGGGAGCGTTCCCTTCCAGTGTGGTCCCATGGCCCTGTTCTAAATGGTGGTATTTTATAAAGAGAGGTATGAAATATAAAAAGCATTCCTTGTTCTTCTCCTACCACTGCGCATTGTAGTCTCTCTGGTTATTTAATGCCTGGTATTTACTCACTTCATTTTCTGAGTTCTGGTTTGTTGTGCTGATTTAGCAGGTACGTGGAAGTCCCATCCCAATTGGCATTCACTGAAAAACTCCACAGCCTATTGAACAGCTAAATCATTTTAGGTGTTCATAGGCTTCTAAAGCATTAGGCCCCCAGCTTGTACTTCCATAGAAAGGTTTCCAATATATCAGCCCCCAGGCACACACACATGCACATGCAATTTTCCATTCCTAATCAATCTTTTGCAGCTAAGTGGCTCTTAGTTAAATGTGAGAACCCTGCTGTTGTATTGCACCACCAACAATATATAAAATGCTGTTGAGCACCAGATCAGGTATTTCCAGTTCCTTGATCCTTCCCCTGCACAGCAGAAGAGTTTCTGGATGCTGCAGACTGAAGTTTTTCCAGCTCTGCACCCAGTATTGACCTCACATCCTACCCAGTGATGAAATCAAAGTACTGCAACTTGTAGGCCACCGCTTTCCTCTCCCATTTCAATTGGTTACAAATAAGGTCTGGTTTATAAAATCGTGGTTTTTCCAAAATAATTATTTCCAAGAATCACCACAAATGGGGGGAATTGTCATTTTTGTTGTATTTGTGTTTATTAGAACATATGTACTTATTACAATTGTCATTGTAATAAACAGTAGTTCTTCATAATACTGTTGAAGAGCAGTTACTAATTTTTTTCCAGACTCCAGAATGTCCTTTAACCTTTAAGGGATCTCTGAATGGGGCAAGGATCAGGCTATAAACTTAATTTCATCAGCATGTCTCTGCTTACTGGAGTTCATCCTTCAGCCAATACTTGAGCAGGTGCGTGGAGAGCACTTCAAAGGAAAACATATTTCTGAAGGTGCAAATGGTTGGGGTTGCTGAGCTCCCCAGACAGTTCATAGCCAGGCTGTTGTGCCTCTCTTCTTCTCTCTCTTTTGAAGCACACATGGGAAAAAAATTTTTAAAAACTGAAATTTGTTTCCTGAAAATTCCTTGCATCCTGTTTCTGATCTGAGGACCATAGCCCTCTCACTGCTTGTATCAAGAGGACTGATGTAGGGAGCCAGGGCAGTGAAATTCTTTGGGGGCACCAGGAATGTGGCTGTGCTGAGGGGAGAGCAGTGTTCTGAAAGGGAAAAGAGTTGTCCTTCCCCCCACCCCCTGTGAGTAACCCATTCTTCTGTTATGGTTTTAATATGCATTTGTAATTACCTTTACTAAATAGCACACCATAAAGCTTTGGTTATATATTAAATGTAAACTGAAAGGAATGTAAACATATGTATTGTTAATTATAAATAGATAAGTAATGGCATAATAGATACAAAAAAGTCTTATTCAGATGTATCAGTCATTTTACATTATCCACAAACTGTCGCATGATAGAGTAGATTTTTGTCTGAATATGTGAATAACTTGACTTGCGTTTATCTTTTTACATATTTAATAAAAAAATATATGTTAAAATCTGTCTAGCTCTAGAGACTATTCAGAACATTCCAAAATAATAATTTTCTGGATTAAATACATATTTTTGATTCATCAGGGGCTGCATATGGGAGCAGGAAGAAAAAGGCAGCTGCTTTAAAAATCCAGAAGTTCACTTACCCTGTGTGTGTGGATAGCATCTGTTTTCCCAAGAGCTCAGTAACTGTATTCCCTTTTATAAATCAAAACAGAAAATGCACGTATGTATGTGCATGTAAACAGCACATTTTTCTTTATGGTAAATGCTTTCAGATTTTGGTGTCCTAACTCCCTTGGGTATCAGTCCAAAGCAAAGCTGGCAGCAGCCAGGAGGCAAAGAGAGCACTACAGAAAGGTACCAAAGCTCCCAGTGGGCTTCCTCGCAGTGGCCAGGTATTCAAGGATGAATCTTCAATGCAGTACCTAAAAGCTACTTAGATTTTAGATTAAAGTATGAGGTTTTGTTGGGAGAGAAGGGGGAAAATTCATTATAGTTCTCACAGCTCTGGTCTTCTGTAGCTGCAGCAGTTGCTGCTCAAGCACAGGAGTTCTGAGCCTTGGATCAGGACCCTTTTCCTCTGTGTCAAAGTGACCCTGTTGTGAGCCACCAGCCTGCACCCCTCTGCTCCAGGTATCCCTGGGCCTCTGATAAAGGAGGGGAGGATGAAGCAGGGACCAGAGGAGCCCATTTCCAACCCAGGCATTCAAACCTGGGAGAGCAGCTCTTCTTTAGTTGTTTTTCATAAGACCAGGAGGAAGGCATGTCCTTGGAGTAGTGCAAATTCTCTAAAGCATAACAAAATTATATATTTTCCAATTCAGATAGTTGAAAACTTTCTGCCATAATGTGACCAAAAAAATGTATTGTTGGACTGTTAGGTCATCTACATACCTGACTGCAAAATAAATCTGTGACTGTACAGCCCTATGAAGAAAAGCATTTTTCTTCCTATTCACTGAACCAGTTGTCATCTACAGCAGCTAATAATTCAATATATACACCGTGCAATCCACAATCTCTTTTTACACCTGTCTTTATACAGATTGTAGTGATAAATTGCTTTAAAGAGGAAAAACAAAGTTATTTGCCATGTTTTCATACAGAAGGTGAAAAAACTGGCCAGAGATTAATGTAATTTAAAAGTGATATTCAATTTCTCTTTAGAAAGGTACAAGTGCAGGCAGGTTGTGGTAGTTCAAGTTTTATAATTTCATTTAATGAATATTTCAAAATACTCTTTTCCAGTGCATCAAATTGCACTGCTTCTGTGACCCTTATTTCCAGCTGTTTCCTAAATAAGTGCAAGACAGATGGAAAAAGGAAGCCTGTCCACAGAGTTTCTCCTGTATGACCACATTCAATTTGGAGTTTTGTTTATTGTATCCCGATTCTTTTCTTACCAGTTTGCTCAATGCTTGTGATGGAATGGTGAAATACAAACTGCCTTTATAAAGCAGGTGAGACTTTTGTGGCAGTGTCTCAGGTATCGGCTGTAGTATTTAACTTCATCAGATATTGAGACTGCTGGGTGCATGCAGCAACATCAAACTCATCACTCCCCTTCAAATACAGTCAGAACAACCTTTTTTGGCAAACCTCATCAAATAAAGAGATTTCAGACTTACTCCAGGGGAGTCCTTGGGCAGTTAGGAAGCACCTCTGTGGACACCCCATGTTTTCTGGGCATCACAGAGGGTAAGGGTATGGCTGCCACACTGGTGAGGAAGAAGCCTGGGAGATGCCTCCTCTGCTGGACCACAGTGGTGCTGAAGGGCATCCTCCCTTCCCTGCCCAGCTCTTGGCAAACCTCTGCCTCAGCATTACAGCATGACCTGTCTCCTCTGCCTGACTCACACCTGGAGCTGCTTGAACTGTGACTCACCTGATTGTCTGGGAGGTGGGACGCTCCATGTGCTTGTTTGGAAGGCGGAACATGGATTTTTTCAAACCTGAAGGAACTTTCTGATATTTCTGCTTTGTGAACAGGGGAAGCTGATGTGCAGGCTTGTTCCCTGGTGCCTGTGGTAAGGGATGCCTGGGGAAATCAGCCCTGCTGGTGTTGTGGTAGGGCAACTGCTGTAACCGGCTTAAGCTGAAGCTGCTCATACAACTTGCCAGTACTCAGCTGAAAATATTAATAGGAGCTACAGATGTAAGGGTAAGTTAACTGGGGGGCAAAAATTATCAGGCTAGTGATAAACCAACAGAAACAGTCTAAGAACTGAAAAAGATGAACTTCAGACTCAGCTCAACAGCTCAAAAACCACTTCCACCTGGCTTCTGGCAAGGGAGATGGTTAAATAGTTAATAAACATGCCAGACTGTCAATCACATCCCTCTGTGCTTACCTTGGGGAGGTGGACAGATTTAATTAGTGCTTCAAGGCCACAAAGGCCCTCTGGCTAGGGCAGCATATAAAAAGACATGAAACTGAAATTCTTACTCCCTCCTCCAAGGCACACAGAAAATCCACGTGTATTATAGATGAAGGGAGCAGTTTACATCTGCATGCAAACATGTAATGTTTAAAAGAAAAAAATTCCTTGTTTCTCTTTCCTATGGCATTTTCTAAAACCACAAGAATTTGCTTCAAGCACACAGGCAAATAATGACTTGTTTAGCATTTTGCACTGGTAGATGATGTTGGACTGAAACTAGTTTTGAAGAGAAATAGGCAAATTTTCAAAGGTTTGCTGGCCAAATTTATTTTCAGCTGTTTACCTTTGTAGGCTGTATTGTTTGTTGCTACTGAAATATAAACAATGTGCTTGTTACTGCCTAGAAAATAAACAGAAGGGCCAGCTGCTGCTGTATTAAGTCTGCATTTCTGACAGGTCAGCTGACTCATCTTAATGCTGAGAATGGGGACGAAACTGTACATTTCAAAAACACTTTACTGTACCCATAACTTTCTGAGCTCATTCTCTTGTTTTCACACATTCATATGAGGTGAGGAAAAGACTGGATGTGCATAAGCCTTTCAGGAGGTTGTGTGGAAGAAATGAGTTGTGAGAAAATAAATATGGCAAATGAAGCAGGCACAGATGTGTGAGTGGGAAGGACGTACAGGGAGGGTTCACATTGCTGGGGTCCCACTGGTGACTAGGCTGGGCAAAACCAGTGCTGGTTATAAACCACTAAAGATCTTGTGTCATCCAGCATGGATTCATCCAGGACTTTGGACACAGTGGTAAGGAGGAGGAAGACAAAAGAGAGGTGAGTAACAAGGCTTGGTATAAAGAATAATATCAACAGAACAACTTGGTAAAGTTCTCTGCTGGACAGGCATCTTCCTCTGAGATGAAGCATCTGGCTGCATAGCTCGTTGTAGTGGTTCAGATATCTGTACTATTCTATTCTTTGGTTATTTTAATCAGATTCATTCCAACTATTTATCACATCAGAAGAGCTGCAAATCTCCATGTCAAGTGTTACAGTCTGATCATAGTGCAGGTGTTCACTCTTGGATGCGTTTCTTCAGGGAAAAGATGTAAATGTTCAAGTGCTCGCTCAGCTGCCTACCCTAAAGAGAAATCACAGAGATTAGTAGCCTGTTTTGTATGTGCTTCACAATTCACTGCCTTTCCTCTCCCAGTAAGAGGGGGAGGACCCAACTACAGTCCTCACATACTTGGGGATCCCTGAGTACACAGGAACCTGTAAATATTCAAACAAGAGAGCTGTTTTCCTTACATTCCTCTTGCAACACACTGCTGGGAAGTAAAATGGCTACAGACTGGATTCACAGGTGACATAAGCTGTGATGGAGCTGGGCCTCTCAGTCAATTGTGAATTTTGGCCAGGTATATCCATTCTGACCCCCACCAACAGGCCCATGTCGTTGCTTGGGTAGACTCTACTGTGCCACCAATGTCTGCTGACAAAAAGCTGTTTTAAAAGAATAATCCTTATATCCCATTGCTGTGGCTTAAATAAAAGAATGCTGACCAGCTCCCTCTGAAATGAGACCATGCAAGGTGTTTTATCTAAAAGCTAAAGCCTTTGGAACAGTTGCTAAAGGACCATTTGACAATTTAGAAAAGTGGGCATCAAAAAAAGTAAAACTCAATTTAAGCAGTAGTTCAGATGACAATGACAATACTGAGATGTAGCAGACAAAAATGTGCTGGTAAGATTGAATGAACTGGAAAACTATTCATGTCACCAGCTTGAGAGATGGTAGCAGAGGGCTAAGAAAAAAATTGGGACACCTATTTTGCCTGCAGATTCAAACCAAAGCTGACCTTATTTTATTATTTCTATTTATGTCACTTTGCATTTTACCTTCCTATTTTTTCAGTCAAGTCACCTTAGGAAGAAGAAAGGCAAAAAAAGAGAGCTTGATGCAGTTATGCCTCATGGGTCGACTGCTACGTAAAACCAGCCCATAAATATTCTGATGGGTTTAAAGCTGAGACCAGTCGGCTACATTGGAATAATTCACATCACTGAAGTCGCTGCACATTCAAAAAGGTATTGCCTGCAATAAACCTATTTCTTTTTTTTTTTTTAACTTCAGACTACATAAAATAACCACCCCAACATTTCCAGGCCCCTCTGCTCACCACGCAGACGCCGTAGTGCACATGGGCAGCCGTGAGCAGGGCGGAGAGCGCGCCCAGAGCCGCTTCCTCCATGCGGCCCAGCAGCCCCGAGATGGCCGCGTACACCACCAGCGCCAGAGGGAACAGGAACCAGTGGAACAGCTCCGGCTGCGTGCTGCTCATCTGGCAGACGATCACCTTGCACTGTCGGAGCAAAAGGGGCCGGGTGAGAAGCGCTGGGCCAGCCCCGAGGGTCTAAGGAAAAGTATTTCCAATTTCTCCGCAGGTTGCTTTGGGTAAGGAGGAAACGAGGCTGCAGTTCAAAATGGGGCTCGTTTCTGGTGAGAAGGCTGCGTTGGCACATGCCTTCGTGCCTCACTGCCCTAGAGGACATCACTACAATTTAAAATGCACCCTTTCCTGGAGACAGGGTTTTGATACACTTGATAAGCGGAAGCACATCTTCACAAAAGGGGAATTTGTTTGCCATCTTATGTTTTTAAAGTTGTGATCTCAAATCAAGTGTGCCATCACCTAATTAATCACTGGGAGAATATGCTGTTATTTTAAACATGCAGCCTGACAGAAATATCTTCTGGTTCATTGTATAGAAGGGAGGGAAGTCAATATATGACATTTTCACATCCTGTTTCTCTTTTCTAGCACTCCTTTATGTACTAAAACACCAGTTTCTTGGCTCGATCATGGCAGTGGGCTCCCTGGAGATGCAGCTGGGGGCCCAGAGAAAGGGATCCCACTCAGAATGGTGGAAAAAATGAATATATGGTGCATGGTTTAACTGAAGGCAATTAGCTTAATTCTACTGAGTTCTGGAAACATAATGAGACTAATTCACTTGAAATTCAGTATTTTAAAAGCAATTAAGCACACCAAAGTGTTTTGTCTGGCTTAGGCTCCTTAAGAAATGTATCTCATATATATCGTTCCCATTACAAAAAAGAAAAGGAATTTAGGCACATCTGAAATATTTTATTGATTTAGTTTCACTCAAAATTGAAATGTGGTTAAAAATAGATTTTATGTATCCTGAAAACAGCAGAAGAATGAAAAACTCATTCCCTGTGCAGTGCCTGAAATCTTATGACAGCAGCAGTAGGAGTCTGACCATAGGAAAGAAATACTGGCTTTACTGCTTGTGCTGTAGAAGCTCAAGAATGCAAAAATAAACCATGAAAAAATAATTAACTTTGAATAGTAGAAGAAGTAAGCCTTTGTACCTAATGTTAATATTTTCACATATATTCTCAGTATTGATTGTGAATTTTTTTAATAACACTGGTTTTATGAGTCCTTTGGGAATCATTCCAGAGGGTAACATAAATTGCTAAAGCAATCTATAAGCTATAACTTTTCTGCCTGCATAACTGAACCTGACCATAGGGTGGATTTCACATTGTTTTAAACCATTGTTATACTTAAATATTTGAGTGACCAAATAAATGGTCAAAGGTATGAGAAGTTCCAGATACTGGAACTGGGATGGCAGGTAGAGAGCCATGGTCTGCAGTTTGTGGTCTGCAGAACAGGTAATGGAAACTCAATGTGTCAGGCTATCATGGAGAAGAAAAGTATTGCCATGACAAGCCTTCCTCTGATGCCAGAGGAAACATGACTAAGGAACCAGAAATAGTGAAAGGAAGTGCAGGCTTGATTTTGAACTCTAGAATGTTACAAATTCCTAACTAACTAACACCCATACATTTTTTAATGCTTGCTTTTAAAATGTTAACATTTTCAGCTAGCGCACATACATTTTTAATTTGCACGAGCCTCCAACCCTGCAATGTATGTTTTGGGGAAAGAACAAACAAAACCTGAAGAATATGTATTGCACTCAGTATCTGGTAAACTGCAGCATGTAAAAAAATCTCTGGTTTGCCTTACTATTCTTCTTCTGCAAGCATCCTGCCACAATCACTCTTGGTTGGTTAAGATGTATGTGCAGAATTTGCCCTCTGCCAAACTCTGAAAGCATTTTCCCCACTGGCATGAAGTAATTGTATTTCTCATTTTGGAATCCCACTATTCTCTTAAGAAAATAATGGGGCAATTAGGGGTAGATTAGGTAATGAATAATGCATATAATAAAACACATCTGAAAATCAACTCATTTTTGTGAGATTAAATCCTTAAGATGGTACTGTTTGATTTGTGACCTTCAGAAATACACATTTATAGGATACACCTAACAAACATCACAATTATATTTTTTTTTCCATTCCTGAATTCAGATTTCTAAAGGGGTTATGCTTTCTCTTTTAAAACCTCGCATTTTTGGAGATCTGTCTCATAGTACAAGACACTTCCAGCTTTCCACTTTTTAAACTGGATGTAGCATTGCTCAATGGCAAGATTTTTAGATGGTGTTGGAGTCTATTTTCCTAAGATGACACTAGTCACTATCCTCTAGGGTATTTTTGCTTAAATGCAAGAACACCTTTTTGCTTGGCTGCTCTCCTGGCTTCCCCCAGAGAAGAAAGCCCTGGGTTACCTGGGCTCAGCACCACTGCCTGGCTGCAGTGCTGCAGCTAGAGCTGCACTGAGGTTTATGCTCTCCCTTGGCAATGAAAGGAGGGAAACTGGTCACCATGACGTGATACAGGAGAAACTAATCTGTGAGCAGAGAGCCATCGCAGGGCCCCAACAGCTCTCCATCTTTCCCTAGAACATTCTGTCACTGGTACAGCCTTTTTCTAAATGGTGAAGGGGAAATGTAGGATCAGCTGAACTGCAGGAATTAGGAATACATGGACCACAGTAATGGACACGAGCAAAGGAAAACTACAAGCCTTCCACTCTTGCTAGTAAATCTGTGCCAGTGTTGACCTTTCTTTCACTTTGACAAATACCCTGTTCTGCTTGTATGTTGGGGAGTATCTATTATATTTGTGGAAGGCATCCCTAGGGTTTTCATGAACCCTCAGAAAACAAACCAGAACCCTCACAAAAGTGTTATGCTGTGGCAGAGGAGGTATTTCAGAACTGTAAGTGTCCCCAGTCCAGACATGTGTTGTGGTATATTTTTATGAGACTGAGTGTTACACAGAGGTGAAAGAGCTGTGTGACTCTGCTTATTTTAGCTACATTTTCTGCTCCCTTCTGCTTATTCACAAAAAAATAGAAAGCTATCTCTAAATAATACCACCACCTCAAATATACTTACAATAACATTTGAGAAAGCAACCCCAACCATCCATAAAAACAGTCGGGGTTGCTTTGCTAATATGTTGCTTGGAGATAAAACCACCCAGACTGTAAGAAGAATGAACAGCAACAGAGGTGACACAAGAGGTAGCAGTCCTTCATACAGAGAATTAATCTTCAGTGTTTTCTTTAAATGTGCTCTGGAAATAAACACAATAATTTTGTAGAGAAAGTAATTTTATCCATTCTATTTCTACACAGTAATTTCAAACTCTAGACCAAACTCGGCCTAATAATTCATCTTGCAACCAGTGCAAATATGCTAGATACCAGATATTTTATAAAAAATTGTAGTATACCCAAGTAACATTTATTTCTGGGGTTAAAATATACTGATTTATTGACATAGCTCCTGATCAGCTTTGCTTGCTCACCATTGTCTGGCAATGGCAGTAAACTCACACAAAGTGAGCTGCAGTACTTTCAAGCATGCAGACATGCTGTGAATTCAAAATACATGGCTTTAGAGGATGAAGCTTCTAACATAAGATATAAACTTGTTTCAGTCAACACACCCCATGTTTTCAGCAGCAGCAGAGTGAAGCACATGGCTGGCAGGTATTGCTCTTGTTTAGCTCTGGAAGTCATGATGCTTGAGGATCCTGTACATTGGGATTTAGGTACTTTAGTTCAAATACAGCCTACAGGGGAGGCTTTTTGACTAATTAGAGCACAGAAAAAATTAATGATACATTGTGTTTTCTTGGGTATTTTAAGCTGTTTTTTATAGGTAGTAAATTATTGCACTAAGTTCACTACCACTAAACCACTCCTTCATACAGCTAGTTCAGGAGAGCAATTCTCTGAAATGTACTGAGAAATGTCCTGTTTAAAATCTTTGAATGTATGTATTTATAGAAACTGCTAGACGAAAATCCAAGAAATATCTTTCTCATGTCAAAGAGAGGAGATTATTGGAAAACTCAGATCCTTCATCACCAAAGAGTTTGTGCATGCATCATTCAAGCAAACCTGACTGGTAGTTGAAAATATTTGTGCTCTTCTCTTCAGAGGAATGATAAGCCCAGCGGAAGGCTTGAGAGGAACTATGTCAAGTGATGACTTGAAAAGGAAAATGCTAAACAAAAGTCCTGACAGGAAAGGAAGGAAACCAAACCCTCAATGCTCACTGGGGTAAAGGCTGCTACTGCCAGGGGCTGACATGCACAAGGTGCTTCCCTCTCTGTCATCTCTGAACAAGATTTCCTTGCACAGCTGATTCCCAGCCCCCTGCCCCATAGCCCAGCCTTTCTGCAGGTCCTCAGCCTTTCCTGCCCCACATCTCCCAACTCTCCACACTTCCTGCCCCAAACCCAGGGCTGTGCATGCTTTTGGTGACTGCACTGAGCACCACCACACAACAAGGGCTGTGTAGGAGAGATGCGACATGGTCTGATAGACTCTCTAAAATTTAAATGTTAGTACTGGTTTCCACTAATTCCTGAAGACATGCAGTGACAGTCCCTCCTCCAGGACACTTAGGACCTGAGAGACCTGAAGTGACAGATGAGTGAAATGAGCTAGCAAATACTAGGGGAAGGCAGGCAGCATTAATAAAAATAGGCCATTGGAATATAAACTAACTGTGTATAAAATTCTTGGGTGCAGCAAGCCAGTTCTTAGATGTAATCACAACTTGCCACCTGCCTAGCTTACATCTGATAGCAATTATCTGCAGACTTCAAACAGAGGGGAGCTTTACAGAAGGACCAGGAAGACAATTAAGTACTTCACAGAGTGCAGGATGGTCAGCTACAGAAATTCAACCAGCACAGGCAGAAGTTACAAATCACATTTGATTGCAAATAAAATACAGTGGTTTTTGCTACAGAAGCTTTATCAGTTTACTGTGCAAGACCACTGTGAGACTGCTTAGAGAACAGCAAATGAAAGGAAAAGGAGAGAGTTGTAAACATGAAAAAGAAACTGGTCAGATTCTGAAAACTTACCAGAAAACCTTTTACTACATTATCAGGATGACATCTGGATGAAAGAAGCTAGTCTACTTCAAGCATTACATTTATTTGTAAATGAGGAAACCATTAAATATACAGAATTAAATAGGAAATGATAGAACTTATTTAATGTTAATTAACTTACCTGTGAATGTTGTATAGTGTTTGTGGAAATGATAGAAACAAGCTGAAGCCTGAAAGAGAAAAACATTAACATATAATTCGACACTGATGACCTCAGAGTTTTTTCATATGATAACAGACCTTGTGTACTATTCTAAAAATCATTCGGTATTCCTGTACTCATTACAGGATATGAACTGAGGCTGCAGGCTTCAGGCAATAATAAAACTGTCCTCTTTTTTCCCAAAAGCCAGCTGCTGAAAATAGTTGCTGATACAGAATTTCCTACGTAATGAGTTACAAGAATGGAATATTTTAATAAAAATTCTGATATAGCTAATAGAGAGGATCAATTATTTTTCATACAGGTTTGTCTGCTGGACCCAGAACAGCCCTACTTTTCATGAGCTGCTGTTTATCTAGAAAAATCTGAGTCTAACACCAAAAGCCTTCCAGTGGAATACAGAAAGACAATAAACTTCAAGCTGGGCTGTTCACATTAGTGGGGAAATAAGTTTATAGTTCAAAATATTAAGGGTCAACTAATGATCTGTTTTGATAATACAATAGCTGAAATTAATTAATTTTTATGACATGTCCATCATTTGAACAAGTGAAAGTTTTTTACTTCTTTTTCTAACAGAGCTGTGATGTTTCTAGAGGTCGGCTTTAACCCACAAAGCACAAGGGTTTTGCCTTTGCTAATGCTGTGTCTCCCTGCTGGTATTATCAACACAGCTGCCAGCAGCCCCTGAAGCTGCCTAAAGACCCAGCTGTACCCCCTCTAACATCCACATCCAAAATACGCTGATCCACCCAAGAATCAAAGAAGACTTTCAGCAACAAGTGGAAGCTTGGGATTCAAACAAAAAAGCCACTATGAGTCAGTCCTAACTAGGTGAAAATATATATGACTTTTTAAATCTATGTCATTCCCTGCATTCTCTTTGGTTTGTACTTTTCCCCCCACTTTTTCTGTATTGAGGGCTTTCCCTGGTCTTAGAGATTGCTTTGGGTAGCACATTTCTGCACAGCTTTTTTATTATAGGGCATGATTTTTTCATCACACTTGGGTGTGATGCACTAAATTAATACATAATTCCTATTTTATTGTGGGCAAGAAAAGCCCTCTGATGTGTTACACTTTCTAGTTTTGACCTAAAACATCTCATTTAAGAAGCACTATGCTGCCTGTACAGAAAATTAGAAAACTTTAATCTCATTATTAGCAATATGGAGGGAAAAAATGAATAGAGGAAAGATATGATTTCAGATAACTTTGTACTGAGGCTAATGTGACATAGCAGTGTCTTGAGAAATGTTAGTGTTCACTCATCAGTCCTCATCAAGGACATATCCAAGTGTTTATCAAACTCTGGCCACAGTGGCAACTCGAGAAAAGGAAAACAACATGAAAGAAAAGTGGAGATCAGGGTTGCTGGAAAAAAAAAAAAAAAAAGTAAAAAGGGATGCAACAGATAATCTGTCTCTCCAGTCTTTCTGGTTATCTGCTAAAGAGAGGGAAACAAAGAATTGGAAAAGAAGAAAAGCCAGCCTGTAAATAATTTCAGGTATTGCATTCTTTTTATTGTTTAATTTTTGGCTTTGCTTTTTAAAACAATTAGGAGCTCTGCTTCTTTACTATGGCAGAAACTTCCTAAAAAACAGCTGAAGGATGTGAAATTGAAGTAATATCCCAAGTATTTTGTCAATATATTTCTAGAATTCACAGGCTTAGTGCCTTCAGAGTGATCTGTGTTTAATGTGCACTCCAGTTAGCTATGTTTTCTATTAGGCAGGGAGCGCTAGTTCAATAAAATCTTGAGTTACGTACAGCAGTTCCAACATCTGTATCACATTAGAGCAGACATGAGACAAAACATTGACTCTTGAGGTTAAATCTAAATTTCCTGCTGCAATCCTGAAGTTTGATTTGTTAGGAGAAAAGCAACCGAGAGGAACAGAAATAGAGACTAGAACTAGAAATAGAATTCAAAGAGCAATGGTTGCCAACAATTTGTTATTTTTATGAAGTGCCATTTTAGTTAGAAATAACACACTGACCACAAACACTCCCCCAGCTAGCAAAAAGCCACTTTCCAAACGGGGCAGTTCCACCAGTTACTCCCCTGTATTTTTACACAGCTTTGCTTTTAGCACAGCGAAAGAGCTGAGGATGCATCAGGGAAGCAAAGGGTGTTCCCTGTTTCTTATGGGATTTTCAGAATTCCATAATTTCCTACAACATGTTGCTTTCCCATCTTTTTTTAGCTAAAGAGGCCTGGCTTGGGGGGCTGCTTTTGGTACTCATAAAGTCTGCTATTTAATTGGCATTAAGGATCCCTTTGTGCCCAGGAGCTAAACTGCTGCATCCGCATTGCTGCCATTCCCTGCTGCTCTGAGGAACAAAAGGTGCAGCCTGGAAAGCAAACCCACTGCTGGCTCTCTGGCACTCAGCCACCCAGGCACTGCCCAAGTGATGATCATGGAGCTTTTTTTTTGGTTTTAATGTCTTAAAAGTACACATTTTATTTTAAATTTTTTAAAATTCAGTTTCAGCTCATTAGATGTTTTAAAACATATGGGAAAACAGAACTCCTCAAGTGTTCTTAGAAGTAGTACACAGCTCTTCCAGCAATTTTTAGCTTCTTCTTTAGTATTTTCCCATTCTTCAGCTGATTTAAAATGTGAGACCCAACTGTAAGAACACAGGCCTATATTAAAGGCAGAAATACCACAGCACAGATGGGTGGCACAGATACACAGGGAATTCTTGTGTCACGCTAGGCTGAAAGTATCAAGCCCAAATCCTCGGATTTAGGTACAATCCTATCGTCAGTCCTCTGTGTTGCACAATGTAAACTCCCTTTTCAGCGAAGTAAACCTTTTTAAAGCTCTTTATTAGGAATTATTTTGTCCATATTAAAAAATGCCAAACATAAGCATAAACAAACAAATAAATAAATCCCAATGCATTCAGAAATTCAGGATTAAAGACATATCTGAAGTGAAGAAATTAAGGCATTATCTTGTTTTCCAAATATGTGTATGCAAACAAACACACATACACAGACATGCATATAAATATGCGCGCGCACACACGCACACACACACACACACACACACACATATATATATATGTATATATACATGTGTATAAAAGAGATCAAAAGGCAATCCCCATCAATCTTAAGTAGAACTTTAGATTTCATTTATTGCTTTCAAATTCAGTTCCAAACCAATAAGGTATTTTGTGATGCAGCTGAATAAAATATTAATTTTAAAAAGCTAGCACACAATGGATACTATGATACCATGTCACCCATGTTATTTGGACTAACAGTAATATATTTTAATTATGTGAGGGCATTTTAAATGCTCATGTAACTAAATTTAAAGACTACTGAAGATCTACAGGCAGACAGGTTGTTTCCATGATATGCTGCAGTTACTGTGGCTGTTGTACCTGATTTAATTCAGGCATTTCTGCAAAATACAGACTTGGTCATTGTAGAGAAAGAGAGAAAATAAACTGCTGACACTACTGTCAGTTCCAGAAAATGCTATTTCAGCACCCACCAGGCCCATGCTGGCACTCAGACAAAGCAAACAGCCTGATGCAGGTAGCCACATTTCTGAAAACACAAAACCTCACAGACTGTAAACACCACCAAATGAAGAAGTGACTCCAAGACACCTAAACCACTAAACAAGCTATAGGGCTTCAAAGGAAGGACAACCTTCGCAGTTTATTTTCTCCACACCTTTGCTATCATAAATCCCCTTTGTTAGTAAATTCCTGGCAAATGAATCATCCTTAAACTGTCCTAAGAAGAGCACTGAAATTTTATTTGTTAAGAATTGGCTCTCCTGGTAGCTAAAAGTCAAAAATTCAAAAATGAGACAGTGCAACAGAGGGATGCAATTTGAGGTGAACACTGCATTGGAAGTTGTGTGAATTTGTTCAGGAAAGAACCAGCCCTGCTGCGCTCCCCCCAAAAAATACTCCCCAGAGTACTCATCCCATTTGGGATGCAGGGAAGAGGCCTGTGCAGACCTTCTGGGCATATCACACAAGTTGACCAACTCTCTAATAGCAGGCAGTTGTACTTGTATTTCAGCTTATAAATTAAATACTATCACTTTTCTCATTCTTTGAGTGCCCACACTTCTGCATGGCCTTCTTCAGTACACTGTTTGGCCTTTCCAGCTCTAGATTAATAATTCATCATAATCAATGTTTGCTGTAAAGAAATGGGGTGTTATAATTTACCCTTCTTAGCCACCAGACAAGAAAAGGTAGATTCAAAATATCCAGGCCTCAATATTAGCTTGGAAAGATATTTAAGTACTTCTTCCACGGTGTTTTTCTCAAATTCCTTGCACATTTAGAGCAGCTAGACACATGAAAATATCTTAACAGACTTAATGTTTAGCACACTGATAAGTGCCTGGAAGCAAACTTCATCAAAAAGTGAACATTTTAAAAGCACTCGTTTCTGGAACAGAAGCTTTCTATGGAACAGTGTGACCTTCTTTGGCATGTCTTGAGCAGACAACTCTTTTAATTGATTGTCCAAATTCATAATTGCATTTTGAGCTGTCCACTTAAAAACCATTACATTTTATTACTATATAAAATGACAAACTTAACACGACTTAGTAGCTGGTGGGAAAACATTAGAAAACAAATATATAATTTGCAGACTTAATTGAGCCTGTGAAGTCTGAATACACTAGTGTGAAAAATACACCCAAAATCCACCATATGAAATGATTTTACAGGAATTGAGGGAACATAAGGTAAACATAAGTACTGTCTTAATGCACGAAGTTGATGTAGGTTTTGGATGTTTAGCATTTAAGATATTTTTTGAGTACAAAGATTGTAGAGGGATGCATTTATCATGCTTGTTGAAAAGAGATGTGTTTATCATGTTTGTTGATTTTATACCTTATTTTCAGTGTCTAAGGTATTAAACATGGCATTTATCTCGAATGAACTGTAAGATAACAATTAGCATTCAGAGGGATTTAGTATCAATTGAAGAATTAGTTTATGGCCGTAGCT